TGTTTAGTGGGTGCTGAAGAAAACATTATATAATTTTTTCAGTATTTTCTTTATACATATATAAAGTTTTCGTCGGGGTCCATGGGTGCTCAAAATTCTACACGTGGATCCGCCCCTGGTTATGCACATTTGAGTTCCTATTCCGTTTGCAATGTCATATATAGTCATCAAAGTTATTTCCTCTTGTTGGCTACATCCATGAATTTCTCTTGACTAATGAATTTATGTTTTCCCAATTTCCTCCTTTTTTTTTTTTTTTTTTTTTTTTTACCGTGGTTTCCGGGCGTCGCTTTGCGAACCCGACTAGTTGTACCCACCGGGTCCCGCTGTTTCAAGGCGGGTCCACCACGGTTAGTTCCACGGGGCCCTGGAGACGCGACCGGTTTGTAATGCCTCCAGTGGCCCTGCTGGGGCTCGAACCGGCGACCTGAAGGACTTTGTCCCAGGCCTTTACCAGCTGAGCTACCCCTCAGGGTTTCCCAATTTCCTCCTAAAGGTATATATGGGGCAAAAGGTGATGGTGACATCGTACCACCCGATTCATGGCTGGTAATTGAAGTTGAGTTGATATATGTTGATCGTCCTACTTCCACATGACGAACGTTATTTTTCCATTATGTAGAATCCTATAGTTGTTGTTGTAACCTTTCTCGTTAAGCGGATTGTTGCACGAACAATTTCAGTTTAAAGACCAAAAGCATTTGGATGATCATGTTTTTCCTTAGGCTATATTGGTTTTATTTGTTCATTTAGTAAAGTTTGAGTTCTTACAAAGTTACAATATAGTATTTCTTTGGTTCAACATTAATTAATCTTAATTAATTATGTCTTATATATATTAGAGCTACAATTACGAATCTTTAATGGTGTTTTGGTACAATAATATGACAATTAAAACTACTGGTGCCGAGCTACACACACTCAAGGGTGGTCAGATGAACACCCAAGGGTCTCCTCTCTTGCTAGTTTTTCTCCTTCTCTCGTCCCTCTCCCTCTTTGTATTTATGTTTGAAATAATAAGGTATATGCTTGTATAGTTGAAATTTTGATCTTTGAATAAATCAATAACATTTTATTCATCAAATCAATATATTTTACACTTCAGAACTAATACATACATGAGGACTAACTATAACAACATTCACTTGCATCATTTAGTAAGAAAAATCACATTTCTATAGAGTGTTGAGAATGTTTCACTAATTTGTATTAACAATATCAGAAACATAATATCTCTAGTATCGACAGAGGGGTATCCAAGATTCTAGAAGGATGTGTGTAGTATTACAAAAAAAATGTATCTAAGATATAAAATTTGATTTGTTTGATTTTTAAGTTCTTAATATGAATTATTAAATTTTAAAAATTATATGTCCAAAATATATAATACTACTATATAGTTTTAAATTTTATATGTCCAAAATTACAACTGTTACCATGGATGGTCTTGCTAAAGCTGCTGCACTATGGTATTGAGAGTTTCGTCACGATTTTGCCAGATTTTCTAAGAGGAATAGTTTGAACGACGTTTTCATTTCTCATACATAACATAATAGTATATACAATATAGTTGTCGGTTTTTTTTTATATATTAATTTTTCATATGTAGGTCAATTGATCAACTTATAAAGTTTACATTTTCGTATGATTTATTGCCTTCAAGGTTTGCAATTATTAATTTTTGTATGTCATCCTAATTATTTCGATCCCAACATATTCTAATTTTGTTTTGAAGCCCTTATGAAATACTAATAAGATTTTAGTGTTTCGGTTAATCCATAGCAAATATATATATATATATATATATATATATATATATATATAGAGTATATATCACTTATCTCGCTAAGTGGTAAATTAATGGTCCTAATTAATTACTTTAAATTTTAATATGTTATAGTTTTAATGTATCCCACTAAATATAGGTGAACTCGAATTGAAGCCTATTTGATGACCTTGGTTAAAAAATAAAATTATTTTCTCGATTAGATGTAGAAGAAAAAAATCATCTCTACATTAGGTATTCCTTCTATGCTTCCATTCCTCGAAGAAGTTTGTTTTAACATGGAATCATGGGAGGCTCGTCATACAGGTGTTATGATTGTTTACCACATCACTCTTCTTATTGGTTCCGCGTCTCTTCTTCCATATTTGAGTTTTTTGATGGAAATTATTGAACCTCGTCTTAAAGATGACAATCAGAAAGTCAGGGACATTACGACTGTTACCATGGATGGTCTTGCTAAAGCTGCTACACTATGGTATTGAGAGTTTCGTTACGATTTTGCCTGATTTTCTAAGAGGAATAGTTTGAAAGACGTTTTTATTTCTCATACATAACACAATAGTATATACAATATAGTTGTCGAACTTATAAAGTTTTTAATTTTTCATATGTAAGTCAATTGACCAACTAATCAAGTTCTCATTATCGTATGATTTATTGCTGATTATTTCGATCCCAACAAAAAATCATTTGTACATAAGTTACAAAAATTTCTGTATCCGTGAAATAGAAGGTTAATTACAACCACCATCCTAGAATAATATGTTTATTACTGAACTGGAGATTAACTATTTAAAGGCAAAACTACTATCTATGTATTATAAAATTATAATTCATAAATGTTAGTGTATGACTTTATAATATTATCAAAGAGGTATGGTGGGACAACGTCACTAATCGAGACGAATTTAGAATTTAAAATTTATAATATGGAAGACCAAAAACATTTGAATTGGTAGTTTTGTACCAGTTCAAATAGTTGAGGGGCATTTTTGGCCCTTCTCTGTTTTAAAAATACCCTCCACAAATCAATGGCAAGGAAGCGGAAAAAGATAATTGTGTCTTAACCATGCTAATACATCCATTTGCAATGGTTTGCCATATACTCCCTTAGTCCCAAAACAAGTTTCACCTTAGTAAATATCACGTCCATTAAGGAATCAATAAATACAATGTGTAATTTACTAAACTAAAAGGGAAAATGCATAAGTACCCCTCAGCCTATGCCCAAAATTCATGAGACACGCCTAACCTTTATTAAGGTCCTATTACCCCCGAACTTATTTTTTAATTAATTTTCTACTCCTTTTCGGCCTACGTGGCACTATCTTTAAAAAAATTGTCAACACGCGTTAGGCCCACAAGATAGTGCCACGTAGGCCGAAAAGGGATAGAAAATTATATATAAAATAAGTTCGGAGGTAATAAACCTTAGTAAAGGTTAAGTGTGTTTCAGGAATTTTGGGCATAGGCTGGGGATACTTATGCATTTTCCCAAACTAAAATCCCTATTTAAGTAATGTCTCTTGAAAAATGTATAAGGGTATAATTGAAAAAACATACTAATTTTATTTAGAATTCACATAAATTATCTCAAATGTGTCGCATAAATTGGAAGAGTAGATTAAAATCAAGTTATTGCAATGGCGGAGCCGGAGATCCCTTCCGAATTTCCCTATCGTGAGAGGAAACGGCAGGCAGAAGAGGAAGAAGAGAATATGAATAAAGAAGATGATTCTGACGATAGCGATTATTCTATAGGCTACGATTCCGATGATCCTATTTTTGAAATTTTGGAAGGTAAAGCAGATCGCAAGATCTGGACGCAGTATTACAGGGAGTGGGATGAGAGTGAGGTAACTTACTCATTGTTTGGTACGCGGGATGAGATAATTTCAATTCACTTCATTTATCATTAGATCGTATTGTAATTGAGGTTACTTTTTGGTGCAACAGGGTTTTGATATCTCTGTCTTTCCGGGTACCTCTTTTATGGCTGGAATTGCACAACAATACGATCACCTGACGAGTCCAAAGGTAAAACAGGAATACACTGAGCTGTGCAAATTGGCAATTAAGAAATTCAATTCAGAGAATGTAAGTTCTTGCCTTGTTCTTTTCGTTTGAAATGGTTAAATATATATATGGATTGTGTGATTATCTTCTATTTAGGATAAAATGTATGCTTTCGAAGAAATTGTGACAGTAAATGCATCGTTTGCTGCTGGGACGTGGTATTATTTCACCTTTAAAGCCCGTGATGCTACTGTTGATGTTGATGTTGATGCTGATGCAATTAAGACTTTTCAAGCATTGGTGTGGCATGGAATCAATGAAATCATTGATGTGGATTTTTGCAGGCTTAAGAAATTTTTAACTAATGAAGGTAAACTCTCTACTCTGTTGCTTTTGAAGATGCAAAAATCAGATCTCTATTGATCATAATTCGTAACAGACTTTATTCAATAGGATGTTTGTAGTATTCTATATGTAAATAATAAAGGCAGAGCCCGATGCACAAAGTGTTCTTCATTAGTACGCATACTGGAAGCATGTATATATTCACTAGCTAATTTTATGTTGAAAGTCATTTGGTCATTTACTATTTATAAGTCGTATTCCATTTGTTGTTGTGTTGATCACTTTTTTTTGTCTTGATGTATCAGTGTCAAACATGTGTGACACGAGTTTAGTTGATAATATTGAATGTATGCACAACTTATATATCTATTTCATAATGTGTTATTTCTTCTGATGCCTATATTGTCGACACTATTAATCTCAGATAAAAAGAAAATGAGAGAGGAAAGGAAGAAGAAACTTCAACAGCGTCGTGAAGCAGTTGCAAAGGTTAAGCAAGATAACCCTTCTTTTGTGAAGTCCTTTGTACCTAGATTGGTCATAGAGGAGTTGTCTAAGGGAAAACCAGGTGGGAGAAAAGCTTTCCCGGGATTTAAGGTCTAACTAATTTCTCTCTTGATTATGTATAATTAATTCTTCTTTCACTCTGTTGTTCCGTTATTAGTAATGACTTTATGCTACTGAACAGATTGGTATACGTTATACTTGCAAGCTGCAGGAGAATGACAAAATATTCGATACAAATATTGGGAAAGAAGACCCTCTTGAATTTCGTATAGGTATTGTATTTGATGTATGAGAAGTTGGTTTCTATTTATTTTGATGTGTTAAACTTAGGTTTTTGTGCTTGCAGCTTCTGGTCAACTTATAAAGGGATGGGAAATTGGTGTAAATGGTAATTTACTTGGATGACTAATTGATCATTTGATTGATTTTATAGTTACACTTCCAGTGTTGAGGACTAACATATTTTGTCCGTCCAACTATCAGGCATGCGCGTTGGGGACAAAAGAAGAATTACAATCCCACCGGAATTAGGGTGTGCACATTTGAGTTCCTATTCCGTTTGCAATGTCATATATAGTCATCAAAGTTGTTTCCGCTTGTTGGCTACATCCATGAATTTCTCTTGACTAATGAATTTATGTTTTTCCAATTTCCTCCTAAAGGTATGGGGCTAAAGGTGATGGTGGCATCGTACCACCTGATTCATGGCTGGTAATTGAAGTTGAGTTGATATATGTTGATCGTCCTACTTCCACATGACGAACATTATTCTTCCATTATGTAGAATCCTATATTTGTTGTTGTGACCTTCTCTTTAAGCGGATTTTTGCACGAACAGTTTCAGTTGAAAGACCAAAAACATTTGGATGATCATGTTTTTCCTTAGGCTATTTTGGTTTTATTTGTTCATATAGTAAAGTTTGAGTTCTTACAAAGTTACAATATAGTATTTTTTTGGTTCAGCATTAATTAATCTTAATTAATGATGTCTTATATATATTAGAGCTACAATTACGAATCTTTAATGGTGTTTTGGTACAATAATATGACAACTAAAACTATTGGTGCCGAGCTACACACTTAAGGGTGGTCAGATGAACACCCAAGGGTCTCCTCTCTCGCTAGTTTTTCTCCTTCTCTCGTCCCTCTCCCTCTTTGTAATTATGTTTGAAATAATAAGGTATATGTTTGTATAGTTGAAATTTTGATCTTTCAATAAATCAATAACATTTTTATTTATCAAATCAATATATTTTAAACTGGAGAACTAATAGATATATGAGGACTGCCTATAACAACATTCACTTGCATCATTTAGTAAGAAAAATCACATTTCTATAGAGTGTTGAGAATGTTTCACTAATTTGTATTAACAAATACCAGAAACATAATATCTCTAGTATCGACAAAGGCGTATCTAGGATTCTAGTAGAATGTGTGTACTATTACAAAAAAAAAAGCATCTAATATATAAAATTTGATCGGTTTGATTTTTAAGTTCTTAATATGAATCACTAAATTTTAAAAATTATATGTCCAAAATATATAATATTACTAGTTTTAAATTTTATATGTCCAAAATTACAACTGTTATCATGGATGGTCTTGCTAAAGCTGCTACACTATGGTATTGAGAGTTTCGTTACCATTTTGCCAGATTTTCTTAGAGGAATAGTTTGAACAACGTTTTCATTTCTCATACATAACACAATAGTATATACAATATAGTTGTCGAAATTTTTTTATATATTAATTTTTCATATGTAGGTCAATTAATCAACTTATAAAGTTTACATTATTGTATGATTTATTGCCTTCAATGTCTGCAATTATTAATTTTCGTATGACATCCTGATTATTTCGATCCCAACATATTCTAATTTTGTTTTGAAGCCCTTATGAAATACTAATAAGATCTTAGTGTTGCGGTTCCATAGCAAATATATATAGTATATATCACTTATCTCTCTAAGTGGTAAATTAATGGTCCTAATTAATTACTTTAAATTTTAATATGTTATAGTTGTAATGTATCCCACTAAATATAGGTGAAATCGAATTGAAGCCAACTTGATGAGCTTGGTTAAAAAATAAATTTTAAAATAATAAAGCTATAACTAAAGAATATGAATTAAAATTAAAATTCATAGCTAAAACGAATTCCATAACTTCAAAAAAATTATATACTAATTAAATTAAAATAGAACAAAAGAAATAATTTTCTTAATTTTTTTCCGGCTGAAGCCGTCACATCGACGGAGACGTATCTGCTTCATGAAGTCTCTCTTATATAATAAGAGAAATTCATGTGTAATTCATAAATGTAAATGCATGACTTTATAATATTATCAAGAGGTATGGTGGGACGATGTAACTAATCTGGACGAATTTGAAATTTGAAATTTATAATTAGATAAATATCATCACAAAATACTACACTAGTACTCTCTCCCTTCCAATTTTTCCTCAAAGGGGATTCAATAGATACACAACATAATACGTAAATATGATCTTTAACTTGGCTTCAGTTGACAATTATGCCCTCCAACATTGAGTGTGCACAAGTAGACACTTAAACTTGTATAAAATTGAACAAGTAGACACACGTGTCCTACATGACATAATACACATAGGACGTCATGTAGGACACAAAATTGACATGTAGGGTGACATGCAGGACGAATGTGTCTATTTGTTCAATTATATACAAGTTTAAATGCCTACTTGTGCACATCCAAAGTTAAAGGTCATAATTGTTAGGTGACGTAAAGTTAAGGGTCATGTTTATGTATTATGCCTAGATAAACCAAAAAAGCATGGAGGGGGAAACTAGGAATGAGGGCAAATCCTTACTCCTCCCTTCTAATTTGTGGGACGCTTTTCGAATTTCAAGATTTTAATGAATCTTTTTTAATAATAACTTTGCATGTCTTCTAATTATTTTGAATTGTCACTTTTTTTTTAATTCAATTTCTTTTTCTTGCAATACATCAAAATCGGGGAAAAGAGTTTTGTGTAATAGGCTAAAATCAATAATTATGGGATTACTTAATATTTTAAATAGTCCAAACTCATAAGGAAAATATTTTCCTAATTCTATAAGTATAATATATTTCTTTTTCCAAATCTCCTAAAATTCAAAATATAATTAACAAATTTATTACCATAAAAGTAATTTGAATCCCATTCTGTTTAGGATTTTTTTTTTTTTTTTTGGTTTCCCACTCGGTGTTCGGAGCCCACATTGGAGCTCCGACTAAATCCGGATCACGCTCTGTAGGGCCCATTCGGGGGTGGCGCTCCCAACAGGATTTTTTCCATACCGAGGGCTCGAACCCGAGACCTCTGGTTAAGGGTGAAGCACTCCCACCAGTGCACCACAACCCATGTTGGTTGTTTAGGATATATTTACTTATATATTGGGGTGACTTTTTTACTCCTTTCAATTCGATCTATATCTCTCGTTTATTTGAAAAAATTATAACAATGGCAGACCCGGAATTTTCACTACAGTCGAAATCGAAAGAAGGAGAGGAGAATACGCATGAAGAAGAATCTGAGGAAAGCGATTACTCAATTGGCTACGACTCCGATGATCCTTCTTTCGAAATTTTGGAGGGTAAAGCAGATCGCAAGATTTGGGAGCAATATTACAGGGAGTGGGATGAGCGTGAGGTAACTACTATTACTCAGGGATGAGATAATTGCGAGAATATTTCATGAGATTAATTTATATATCTTTTTATACTACATTTTTGGTGTACAAACCTGAGATAAACTTAATCTCAAATTTTATACAGATTTTTATCGAAAGTCTATGAGAAATAACCTCTTTTATAGTTTTGTGTATTACACTACCTTCTCTGGACTTAATTTACTAGTGGAATTATATATGGGTATGTTATTGTAAGTGGCGGAACAACATGGAGTTAAGGGGTTGATCCAAAAATTACAAGATGTTGCTAGGTAAACAATAATAATTTATGTATAAGTATATTACTCCCTCCGTCCCATTTTATATGTCACCTTTCGGATTTCAAGAGTCAAAAAAGTTTATCTTTTACCGTAAATTTTTCATAGATCTTTTTAAACATTTTGAATTATCAATTATTGTGACTCATAGTACTTTTTACGTAATTTACAAATATATAAATTTCATTTCAAAAAAATTGAAGACTTCATACGCAAATTTTTGGTCAAACTTAAACTGTTTAACTCTCAAAACATAAAAGATGTCATATAAATTGGGACAGAGGGAGTAATTGTTATGGACTGGCTTCAGGCCTGTTATGCAAACCGAAGTATATACTTGTTAGGCACATTATTATATGTTTTACTTTGTTAAATGGTGTTGTTGCGTGCAATAGGGTTTTGATATCTCTGTTCACCCGGGTTGTTTTTCTATGGCTGGGATTGAACAACTCCATGATTACGTGACGGATCCGAAGATAAAACAGGAATATACTGAGCTGTGCAAATTGGCAATTCATGATTTCAATTCAAAGAATGTAAGTGCTTGTATTGTTATTTGAAACGTTTCAAATGGATATATATATATATATATATATATCAATTTGATGATTTTTGGCTGCCTTCTATTTATTAGGAGGATAATATGTATGTGTTGAAGGAAATTGTGAACGTAAATGCATCGTATGCAGCTGGAACACCGATACAACTGTTGATGTTGATGCCGCTGTAAAGACTTTTCAAGCAGCGGTGTGGTATGGATTCGATAAAACCATCAATGTGTATTTTTGCAGGCTTAAGAAATTTTTAAGTAATGAAGGTAAACTCTCTACTCTGCATCTTTCAAAGACACAAAAAGAGGGGTTATTTAAGGGAAATCGGGTGTTTTTGTTTGATTTGGGAGATTATATCCAAAATAGGGACGTTTTTGCATAACCGCAGAGACAAACTTTTGATGATTGACGAAAGTGGATGGGCATTTCCCCTGAATATAACTACTGTTGACAATACTGAATGTATTCTCAACTTATATAACTATTTTAGAACATGCTATTTCTTCTTACGCCTACTCAAGAAAAAGAAGAAGAAGAAGAGGGTGAACTAGATAAGCCTTCTCTTGTGAAATCATTTGTATCTGGATTGGTCATAGAGAAGTTGTGTAAGGGCAAACCAGGTGGGAGAAAAGCTTTCACGGGATTTAAGGTGTAGCTTTCGTTCTTGATTATGTTTATCATTCTTTCACTCTGTTGTTTCGTTATTAGTAATGACTTTCTTCCACTGAACAGGTTGGTATACGTTATACTGGCAAACTAAAAGAGAATGGAAAAATACTCGGTACCAATATTGGAGAAGGAGAACCTCTTGAATTTCGTATAGGTATTGTATTTGATGTATGGGACAATGACTTGTATTTATTTTGATGTGTTAAACTTAGGTTTTTGTGCTTGCAGCTTCTGGTCAACTTGTACAAGGATGGGAAATTGGTGTAAATGATAATTTACTTAGATGACTAAATTGATCATTTCTCAGATTTTATAGTTACAGTTTCGATCC